AATTGTTACTCAGGGACACATAATCGTTGAATTAAAGAGTATGTCAGACAACATGCAGAGGTGTGGCAGAGGAGGGCAATTTTTTAGGAGCGAGCAGACGTGGCAGCAGAGGAAGGGGTCGAGGCAGCACTATTCGCAGCCAGAGGCCAGTGCTCCCGGTGTCATCCAGCGGTCGTGTCTCCACCGACAACCCTGCCGTCATTGATTGGTTGGCTCGGTCGTCTTTCCTTCCCAGGTCACCTCTGACACCTACAGCCAACGGGTCGGTGGGTACGTCAGACACAAACCGTTAGTTGGCATGGCCCGGGAGCAAGCCCACTGAAATCACATGTCCTCTAACCTGCCCCTGTCCTTTGCTGTTCCCTCACCAAGCGAAGTATCGCATGCATGCTGTGGGCTCAGCCCCACTGTACAGTGAGGAAGAGCTAACAGAGGGCGGTCAGGAACGGGGGGAGACATCGGCCTTTTCAGCAGCCAGGCGAAGAAAGTACTGGCGAGGAGAGTGACATAGGGTGCTGGCAGATTACGGACCTCCCATAGCTGCTGTCTCCATCGCCACACTCTGCCATGTGCCACTTTCAGGTCTCCTCACACTGCTGTGTGTAGAATTTTTTGACATAGGGTGCTGGCAGATTACGGGCCTCCCATAGCTGCTGCCAGGCCCCTAATCTGCCATAGGCCCCTATATACCGCCTCCTCATGCTGCTGCCAAGTCCAGAGTCTCTCATGGGTCCCTGTACGGCCTCCCATTGCTGCTGTCTCCATCGCCACACTCTGCCATGTGCCACTTTCAGGTCTCCTCACACACTGCTGTGTGTAGAATTTTTTGACATAGGGTGCTGGCAGATTACGGGCCTCCTATAGCTGCTGCCAGGCCCCTAATCTGCCATGGGCCCCTATATAAACCGCCTCCTCATGCTGCTGCCAAGTCCAGAGTCTCTCATGGGTCCCTGTACGGCCTCCCATTGCTGCTGTCTCCATCGCCACACTCTGCCATGTGCCACTTTCAGGTCTCCTCACACACTGCTGGTGTGTAGAATTTTTTGACATAGGGTGCTGGCAGATTACGGGCCTCCTAAAGCTGCTGCCAGGCCCCTAATCTGCCATAGGCCCCTATATACCGCCTCCTCATGCTGCTGCCAGTCCAGAGTCTCTCATGGGTCCCTGTACGGCCTCCCATTGCTGCTGTCTCCATCGCCACACTCTGCCATGTGCCACTTTCAGGTCTCCTCCTCACACACTGCTGGTGTGTAGAATTTTTTGACATAGGGTGCTGGCAGATTACGGGCCTCTCATTGCTGCTGCCAGGCCCCTAATCTGCCATGGGCCCCTATACTGCCTCCTCATGCTGCTGCCAAGTCCAGAGTCTCTCATGGGGTCCCTGTACGGCCCTCCCATTGCTGCTGTCTCCATCGCCACACTCTGCCATGTGCCACTTTCAGGTCTCCTCACACACTGCTGGTGTGTAGAATTTTTTGACATAGGGTGCTGGCAGATTACGGGCCTCCCATAGCTGCTGCCAGGCCCCTAATCTGCCATAGGCCCCTATATACCGCCTCCTCATGCTGCTGCCAGGTCCAGAGTCTCTCATGGGTCCCTGTACGGCCTCCCATTGCTGCTGTCTCCATCGCCACACTCTGCCATGTGCCACTTTCAGGTCTCCTCACACACTGCTGGTGTGTAGAATTTTTTGACATAGGGTGCTGGCAGATTACGGGCCTCCTATAGCTGCTGCCAGGCCCCTAATCTGCCATAGGCCCCTATATACCCCGCCTCCTCATGCTGCTGCCAGGTCCAGAGTCTCTCATGGGTCCCTGTACGGCCTCCCATTGCTGCTGTCTCCATCGCCACACTCTGCCATGTGCCACTTTCAGGTCTCCTCACACACTGCTGGTGTGTAGAATTTTTTGACATAGGGTGCTGGCAGATTACGGGCCTCCTATAGCTGCTGCCAGGCCCCTAATCTGCCATAGGCCCCTATATACCGCCTCCTCATGCTGCTGCCAGGTCCAGAGTCTCTCATTGGTCCCTGTACGGCCTCCCATTGCTGCTGTCTCCATCGCCACACTCTGCCATGTGCCACTTTCAGGTCTCCTCACACTGCTGGTGTGTAGAATTTTTTGACATAGGGTGCTGGCAGATTACGGGCCTCCTATAGCTGCTGCCAGGCCCCTAATCTGTCATGGGCCCCTATATACCGCCTCCTCATGCTGCTGCCAAGTCCAGAGTCTCTCATGGGTCCCTGTACGGCCTCCCATTGCTGCTGTCTCCATCGCCACACTCTGCCATGTGCCACTTTCAGGTCTCCTCACACACTGCTGGTGTGTAGAATTTTTTGACATAGGGTGCTGGCAGATTACGGGCCTCCCATAGCTGCTGCCAGGCCCCTAATCTGCCATAGGCCCTATATACCGCCTCCTCATGCTGCTGCCAGGTCCAGAGTCTCTCATGGGTCCCTTGTAACGGCCTCCCATTGCTGCTGTCTCCATCGCCACACTCTGCCATGTGCCACTTTCAGGTCTCCTCACACTCTGCTGGTGTGTAGAATTTTTTGACATAGGGTGCTGGCAGATTACGGGCCTCCCATAGCTGCTGCCAGGCCCTAATCTGCCATAGGTCCCTATATACCGCCTCCTCATGCTGCTGCCAGGTCCAGAGTCTCTCATGGGTCCCTGTACGGCCCTCCCATTGCTGCTGTCTCCATCGCCACACTCTGCCATGTGCCACTTTCAGGTCTCCTCACACACTGCTGGTGTGTAGAAATTTTTTGACATAGGGTGCTGGCAGATTACGGGCCTCCCATTGCTGCTGCCAGGCCCCTAATCTGCCATGGGCCCCTATACCGCCTCCTCATGCTGCTGCCAAGTCCAGAGTCTCTCATGGGTCCCCTGTACGGCCTCCCATTGCTGCTGTCTCCATCGCCACACACTCTGCCATGTGCCACTTTCAGGTCTCCTCACACTGCTGGTGTGTAGAATATTTTGACATAGGGTGCTGGCAGATTACGGGCCTCCCATAGCTGCTGCCAGGCCCCTAATCTGCCATAGGCCCCTATATACCCGCCTCCTCATGCTGCTGCCAGGTTCAGAGTTTCTCATGGGTCCCTGTACGGCCTCCCATTGCTGCTGTCTCCATCGCCACACTCTGCCATGTGCCACTTTCAGGTCTCCTCACACTGCTGGTGTGTAGAATTTTTTGACATAGGGTGCTGGCAGATTACGGGCCTCCCATAGCTGCTGCCAGGCCCCTAATCTGCCCATAGGCCCCTATATACCGCCTCCTCATGCTGCTGCCAGGTCCAGAGTCTCTCATGGGTCCCTGTACGGCCTCCCATTGCTGCTGTCTCCATCGCCACACTCTGCCATGTGCCACTTTCAGGTCTCCTCACACACTGCTGGTGTGTAGAATTTTTTGACATAGGGTGCTGGCAGATTACGGGCCTCCCATTGCTGCTGCCAGGCCCCTAATCTGCCATGGGCCCCTATACCGCCTCCTCATGCTGCTGCCAAGTCCAGAGTCTCTCATGGGTCCCTGTACGGCCTCCCATTGCTGCTGTCCTCCATCGCCACACTCTGCCATGTGCCACCTTTCAGGTCTCCCTCACACTGCTGGTGTGTAGAATTTTTTGACATAGGGTGCTGGCAGATTACGGGCCTCCCATAGCTGCTGCCAGGCCCCTAATCTGCCATAGGCCCCTATATACCGCCTCCTCATGCTGCTGCCAGGTCCAGAGTTTCTCATGGGTCCCTGTACGGCCTCCCATTGCTGCTGTCTCCATCGCCACACTCTGCCATGTGCCACTTTCAGGTCTCCTCACACTGCTGGTGTGTAGAATTTTTTGACATAGGGTGCTGGCAGATTACGGGCCTCCCATAGCTGCTGCCAGGCCCCTAATCTGCCATAGGCCCCTATATACCGCCTCCTCATGCTGCTGCCAGGTCCAGAGTCTCTCATGGGTCCCTGTACGGCCCTCCCATTGCTGCTGTCTCCATCGCCACACTCTGCCATGTGCCACTTTCAGGTCTCCTCACACTGCTGGTGTGTAGAATTTTTTGACATAGGGTGCTGGCAGATTACGGGCCTCCCATTGCTGCTGCCAGGCCCCTAATCTGCCATAGGCCCCTATATACCGCCTCCTCATGCTTGCTGCCAGGTCCAGAGTCTCTCATGGGTCCCTGTACGGCCTCCCATTGCTGCTGTCTCCATCGCCACACTCTGCCATGTGCCACTTTCAGGGTCTCCTCACACACTGCTGGTGTGTAGAATTTTTTGACATAGGGTGCTGGCAGATTACGGGGCCTCCCATTGCTGCTGCCAGGCCCCTAATCTGCCATGGGCCCCTATACCGCCTCCTCATGCTGCTGCCAAGTCCAGAGTCTCTCATGGGTCCCTGTACGGCCTCCCATTGCTGCTATCTCCATCGCCACACTCTGCCATGTGCCACTTTCAGGTCTCCTCACACACTGCTGGTGTGTAGAATTTTTTGACATAGGGTGCTGGCAGATTACGGGCCTCCTATAGCTGCTGCCAGGCCCCTAATCTGCCATAGGCCCCTATATACCGCCTCCTCATGCTGCTGCCAGGTCCAGAGTCTCTCATGGGTCCCTGTACGGCCTCCCAATGCTGCTGTCTCCATCGCCACACTCTGCCATGTGCCACTTTCAGGTCTCCTCACACACTGCTGGTGTGTAGAATTTTTTTGACATAGGGTGCTGGCAGATTACGGGCCTCCTATAGCTGCTGCCAGGCCCCTAATCTGCCATAGGCCCCTATAATACCGCCTCCTCATGCTGCTGCCAGGTCCAGAGTCTCTCATGGGTCCCTGTACAGCCTCCCATTGCTGCTGTCTCCATCGCCACACTCTGCCATGTGCCACTTTCAGGTCTCCTCACACACTGCTGGTGTGTAGAATTTTTTGACATAGGGTGCTGGCAGATTACGGGCCTCCTATAGCTGCTGCCAGGCCCCTAATCTGCCATAGGCCCCTATATACCGCCTCCTCATGCTGCTGCCAGGTCCAGAGTCTCTCATGGGTCCCTGTACGGCCTCCCATTGCTGCTGTCTCCATCGCCACACTCTGCCATGTGCCACTTTCAGGTCTCCTCACACACTGCTGGTGTGTTCCATTTTTTGACATAGGGTGCTGGCAGATTACGGGCCTCCCATTGCTGCTGCCAGGCCTGTAATCTGCCATGGGCCCCCGTACCGCCTGGTCACGTTGCTGCTGGGTCCACAGTGTGACATGGGTCCTTGTACCGCCTCCCATTGCTCCCACTGCATGTGCCACTTTCAGGTCTCCTCACACTCCTGCTGGTTTCCATTTTGTCATAGGTTGCTGTATGGCCTCCCATTGCTGCTGCCTCCACCGCCACACTGTGGCTCCAAACACTGGTTTTTGGCCCCGTGACTGGCCAAATGAGTGAAGTGTGCGGTGAATTCTAAGATCGACGGCACTCATCTGCATGTCATAACTGAGTGACAGTATTATTTCTCTTCCCCAGCAGACTCCAAGGGCATTTAAATTAAAGGTACAGTGTTCTGCACTAATATTAAGTCTCTCTGAAGCCTAGAAACACCCTTTTTTAAGTTAAATTCACAGCGAATTTATTCGACTCGAATCGAATATTGTCCACGAATTTGCCGAATCAGTCGAATCGAATTTTTCATTTCTTCGCTCATCTCTACTGACAATATTTGACAGTTGAATGAACTAAAGGAATCAGAAGGCACCAGCATTCCAGTACTGTTATTACCCAAGAAGTGTTTTTAGCCCAAGTAAGGTACACTTTAATGCTAGGATAGATTGACAAACCCAAGGATTGACTACACAGAAAAACAAAATGTGGCTGGCCATTAAAACGGATAGCAAAAACTTTTCTTTTATTTGCAGAAGTGGATTTTCAGTTGTTCCATTTGTAACTAAAATCACTTGTCACACACTACCTTGTCTGTATAATTTACTTCCACAGGAAACTGTCACTGCAAATTGAGTTAGAACATTTAGATCAGAAGTGTGTGTGTGTTCGTGCAGGAAGGTGACATATGTAGGTTATGCGTAGTTTTTATATTATTACATTGAGTCAATTTCCATTTTTAGTGCAAAGGACAGAACCTTTTTTTTCTCTTAGGGCTTCAAAATATTCGTAGCTATGTCTATTGTTTTGTTTTTTCCGTCCTCTATATCAATGTGAGTGGAGATCTTTTTATAAATGTAAAAGACACATCCCTACTTTAGAAAGGTTACATAGCCTGCAGACTTCATTAAAATGACTTGAAAATTATTATATTGGTAGTGCATATACTTTGTATGCACATATACAGTATATATATTTATTTATTTTTATTTCAGGTACTTATACAGCTCTGTCAATTTATGCAGTGCTTTACATATATATTGTATATTCACATCAGTCCCTAACCCTCAAGGGGTGTACAATCTAAGGTCACTAACTCACATTCATACATACACATACTAAGGACAATTTAGACTGGTTTCAGTTAACCTACCAGCATGTCTTTGGAATGTGGGAGGAAACTGAAGTACCTAGAGGAAACCCATGCAGGCACAGGGAGAAAATGCAAACTCCAGGCAGGTGGTGCCATGGCTGGGATTCAAACCAATGACCATAGTACTGCCAGGTGGAAGTGCTAACCATTTAGCCACTGTGCTGCCCACAGTAAAAGGTATAAGTGGAACTTCATTTTTTAATTTCTTGTTTCCACCCCTCTGTGTTGAAACATTCTCAATTTCTTCCTGCATTCTCCATGTACCAGTGGTTCTCTTACGGGCGTAATGATACTCTGTCTTTCTTAAAAATCCTGGACATAAACAGACATATTGCCATTACTGAGAATTGACTCAGTTTTGAATTATATATGTGAACAAGTTAAAGAAATCCCACCTTCAGATAAAGACGTCATTGCTGTCCTCTTCTTATGAAAATGCTAGTTTCCTTCCTGCGAACCAGTCCTGGGACAGAATCATCCAAAGCCCAAGGCACAAATGCATTACTGCACCCCACTTCCCAGCTGCTAATGCATGACATAGAATAGATGTACCACACCCATCCTATGCCACCTTACTCTGGATATCCATGTAAGGCATAGAGTGTGCACTACGCATGTGTAGCCAATCAGTTGCTTTCTAGAAGCTAAAATGTAGTTGCACATGTTGGTGTGACACCACTGTCCCCAGGGCAGCTGCCCCTCCTGCCAACATTGATCCAGAATGTGTATGCAGATGAGGACTTTTTATTTTGCTCTCACTTTCCTGATCTGCATACTTATCCAGGTCAGTAATTCGTAAAGCCAGAAAACCAGCATTTTCAAAAGGTCAGCAATGGCAGCCAGGTAGGAGAATTGCTACAAATGATTCTAGACTACGGCTTTAGAGGACATATAGTTTTAGCAGGTCTCTGCTCTGACTGTTCACTGCCTCGTCATAGTCTAGCAGTGGCAGACTATAATAAGGACTGTGACATTGCTGGACGCTATTTTTCAATTGTGGAGAAAGCTAATATTACTGGCACTGCTTGGCATACTCAGAAAACACATTATATAATAATTTGCAAAGGTATATTATGTAAAACAAAGGGGGGGGGGGGTTTGAAATGTGATTTCTCTTGTATTGAATTGTATTGGAACTGTACTGTCTGCCTTTATTTTGTAAAGCACTGCACAAACAGTTGGTGCTATAGAAACTCTGTATAATAATAAGAATAATAATATACAGTATGTGGGATTTTTTTTAGCTACCAAAGAATTTGTATTTCTGTTGATCCGATCCTGATATTTACAGAGCTCTGATTGACAGCACCACAAGGTGAATAACCATAGTTACATAGTTAGTCTGGCTGACAAAAAGACAAAAGTCCATGCAGTTGAACCAAAAAAAAGTAATAATCCTATACCCACAGTTGATACAGAGGAAGGCAAGAAAACCCAGCAAAGCATGATCCAATTTGCTCCTGCAGGGGAAAAATTCCTTTTTGATCCCTTGAGAGGCAATTGGATATTTTCTGGATCAGACTTTTTCTGCTGCAGTCCAACAAGCTAGGTCATATCCCAACCCTTATCCTGTGATTGGACAATGAAAGAGCAGCAACAGATGGGTGAGCTGAGCCCTCTACTCACTCTGCTGTCTGCTGTAGTAAATACTGTATGTTCATTCTCAGATATCTGCACTGCCGCAGAGCCTGACTGGCCTGACATAGTTTTGCCCCTCTTTCTCCACTTCTGACATGTACTGTAAATTAGTCCTATGTGCATACTAGCAGTGTTTTATTACATGTAATTGGTAGATAAATTACATATTTTATACCTGTCTTGACTTAAGAACCTGTGTTCCTGGGCTTTTGTTTTTTTCAAATGGGTTTTGAATCTTCATACAAATCTATGTTCACACTAGTATGATTTCAGATCACATGACAAAGGAAATCACATTGTTTTCAACGGTGACTATGCACACCAAAGCGACTCAGCATGGAGCGATTTTGCAAATGGTTCCTGTACTAATTTGGTGCGATTCCGGTGCGAATTTGGCCTCATAGAATATTCAAACCTTCTCAAATTACTTCCAAGTTGCACTAAATAATCATACTGAAAGTTTGATGAAAATCATATGTCTGCAGTGTGAACCTAGCTTTAGCTTTAGTGGTTAGCAATCTACCCTTGCAGTGCTAGAGTCCTCGGTTCGAATTCCAGCCAGGACAATACTTTAAGTTTGAATGTTCTCCTTGTGCTTGCTGGGTACTTCAATTTTCTTTAAGCACTCCTGCTTTGCAGCACTGGAAACCTTGGTTCCAATGCCAACAAGGACAATATCTCCAAACACATAGCTAGGACATGGTAGATTTATTGTCTTCTCTCTAAATTGGCCCTAGTATGCATGCATGTGAGACAGAGATGCAAGTCTATAAGCCCCTTAAAAGAGAAGTTTGGGATTTTTTAAAAAATTTACTTACTTAAATAGGTGGATGCAACATCAAACTGATGCTGCATCTGTCCCCCCACCTGTTCTAAGGATGAGAACTCAGCGATCAGACAGTGCTGGTTCTCCCTGCCTCTCTAAGCAGAGGTCATGACTGTCGGTCTCCAGCTCTCTGCTCTGCCCCCCCCAGCATTCACTGGAGTGCTGGGCTGTGGAGAGTGTAGAAGCGGCTGGCTTGGGCTCTCAGCATTTTGCTGAGAGGTTGAGCCAAGTGTCAGTCCAGGCACCCAAACGTTGGGACTTTTCCCCAGTCTGGACCGGCTGAGTGACGTCAGCCAACAACTATCGACTGAAAATGGTGCACAGAAGTGCAGAACAAAGCTTTGGCAGTATGATGCAAAATGTTCAATATATAAAGTGCTATGTAGATTGTCAATATATAAATACAGATCAAATGCACCTGTCAATGAATTCTGAAGAATCTAAGAATTATTTCAAGCTAATGCCATTTACAAAAGACTCGTGTTAAAAATGTACATTTTCTGACCATTAAAATGGTACCAGTTATATCCGTCAAGCCAGCTTACAATTTGCCCCCTTATATCATTTTTCCAGAGTATGTACAGTGCAAGCTGAAGCGCAGTTAGGCCATTACAAAGACATTTGAATAATTGTTCAATGATTGCTGGATTTCTCTCTAAAGTCTGAAAAATGCACAGAGCTGGAAAATGTATTATGAATCCAAAATGCTAAGAGTCATGTTAATTCAGAGACAAATGGCTGAAAATAACTGTCATTTGTACTTTGCTGACAGTTGTACTTTGGGGTATATTTTTCCTTCTAATTAGCTGCACAGTGTTCAATTAATAATCCTTTCATTATTATGTCTCAGCTGGTGGCACCAAAACTATTAAACTAAACAGACTGACCTTGTGCTTAAGTACTGTTTCTAAGAATCCTGTTGGCAAAAGTAAGGAGATTACGTCAAATTTTCCCACATACTAAACAAAAATAATGTTTAATTGATCAGTGTGAAGGAATGCTGCTGTTGCAAGTCATTTTTTCTTGCTTTTTTTTTTTTTTTTCAAAATATCATGGAGGGGCTTTAAAGAGGGTTACCTCCTTAATGAAGGTTAATATCACTATTGTGGAAAATTTTATATTACAATACACCCAGAAAAATAATAGTTCTGTAAGTGACATTTATTGACTCTCTTGTCTGCATATGTCTGTGATTGCCAAACAACTAGTTAAAATACATTACTGCAGGGAAATGTAAGTGCAGCTCTGTCTATGGAATGCAGCTGTACCTATGCAAGGGCTATCTCAGAAATTAAAAATCTGTTGTGACTTTAGACATTTGAGGCTACAAATGTACCTGAACAGAGAAAAAGTACAGTTAGCAATTAAAATTGAAATACAACTCATTAAATAAAAGTCATAAGAGGGCAAAAAGCTTTCTTTTTTATATTACTAAAACTGTACTTTAAGTATAAAT